GTGGGATCCTCTTCTTCTCCAAATCGCCTCTCTCGCTCTCATTCTCACTACACACGGCGTCGAAATCTCACCCTCAGTTTCTCAATGGATCTTGATCTATTCTTTTCATTCGATTTCATTTGGATTCATGGATCCGATTTGGATCTTAACACATCTTGATCTCGTTTTGGTTTCGGATCTCTCTCTTCATCTCTATTTTATTTCTTGTGGATCTGTTTTGGTTGAAAGGGTTGATGTAGAAGATTAATGAAGGCTGGTTGAAGGTTGAAGATTTAGGTTTGAAAAAGGGAAAGATGGAGGTAAATGGTGTTTTCCGGGTAAAGGTGTTCGGATTTTGGATGTTGAAAGAGGGGTTAGGGTTCGAATATGGTGTTGGTTTGTGTCGTTGAAGATGACGATGATGGCTGGAGATTTTCTGGGTAGTTTCTGAGAGGGTTTCGTTTGGAAGGAGCTGGGTTTTTGTTCGGGTTAATATGTTTGAAGCTTATTTGAATATGAGTTGAATGAAGGTTAATGGTTCGGTAATAAAGGATTTACGTTTGAAGAAGATTTTATGGAGATTGTGGTGAAGGCAAGAAGGTTTTGATTGGGTTTATGTCACGAGATGATGAAGAAGATGATAGCAAAGATGAAGGAGGCGGAAAAATTGGTAGCTCGCGGAAGGTTGGATATGGTGTTGACGGTACAGATGATGATGATTGAGGTGAGGAAGGAGTTCTGGTGATGAAGATGAAAGTATTAAAGACTCCTACTTAATTGGACTAAGCGCTTTCGCTTCCTTTTAACAGTTAAGACTAACTAAACTTAACTAAAGGTTGGATGACTTTCGATCTTATCCAACAGATTTCAAGTGTATAAAATTTGTGTTAAAAGTCAGAATAACTCCTAAGTAATTCTATCGACAGCTGTATGAAATACCACTTTAACTATGATCCTCACATCCTAACCTTTAATATTTAGTCAGATATGGAAATGTAAATAGACATGATAAATAATGCGATAAATAAAGTGCGAGTAAATAAAGGCGAGAAATAAATAGTGCGGGAAATAAAGTGCAAGAAATAAATAGTGCGGGAAATAAAGTGCGAGTAATTAAATGCGGAAATAAATAGAAAGTAAATAGAAACTTACTCCAAACGGGAGGTTTTAAATCTGGTACAAAAAGACTGGAAAGAAAATGGCGGCAGGATTAACTTCTACCAAAGTGCTCCAAACCCGATTACAGACTCGATCAAAAAGTGTGATAAATCCTCGATGCGAGAAGTTTATTGCTTTACAACAAATGATAGTATATGGCTTGAGTTCTGTAACTAAGATTGGATGTTTAGAAATAAGGCAAAACTCGTCTATTTATAGGCTATGAAAGTACAAGGAAAGACTAGAATGCCCCCAACTTCTTTTGGGAAGGAAAATGAAATACAAGGGTGGCGCCCGCCATGTGAACTAGAGGAGGAAGAAGTAGGAGTCGTGGCATTTGTCAACAGTTGGTCTCTTATCCAAGTTATGGCATCCCCTATGGCGACTGCCATGGCGAGTGGCGTGTGTACAATTCCTAAAAAGCTGGTATTTCTTGCTCGTTTTTCTTCATTTCTTCTCGAGGAGCTCTGGAAATACAAAATCCTGAAAATGAAACAAAACAGAAGTATAACACAAGAAAACAATAATAAAATCCTAAGGAACACGTGCAATTCGAGTCAAATACACAGTATAATATAGGTATATCATTAAGTAGTATGATGCCATCATATTTGGTAATCTTTTGCCTATTGGTTTTCCATCTCTGCATTATGTATACTTTAATTTCTTCCAGCATTGCCACAATGGGCTTGGATCTAGCAGCCACAAATACAAAATTGAACGCCTCTGACATATTGTTAACCAAAGTGTCACAACCTGAACTTAGCTGGAACCTTGATTTGCTCTAGAATCTTGGTGAGGTGTTTGAAGGCCTCTTCATTAACTCATTTGATTTCAAGCATTATTTTCTACCAAGCATTAACGTAACTTGCACATGCAACCCTCCACACCAATTCCTTTAATTTTAGGCCAGGGAACTTTTTCCTGAAGTTACTATACAAATGTCTGCAATATAAAGTAAGTGTAAACATTACCAAGTATGTCATATTCAATATGCAAGTTACTAAACCAAGTATGTCATATTCAATATGTAAGAGCTGGCAGTAAACATTACCAAGGTGAGAGTAAACATTACTAAGGTGAGAGTAATATGTTACCTAACACATAATATCTGGTCAACATTACCAAGTAATTCATCAAGAGCTGACAGTAAACCCTGCATCCATAAATAAGTAAGGATGATGGTGAAAATAAAACAATTGGATAATAGTTACATTTCAAGGTGAAAGTTTAAAACCTAACCTTTTCTTGATCACTAATGAAGGTATAGGTTCTGCACAACCCGACTCCTCCCAAATCAGGTATCAATAACTCTATAAACTAGCTCCATGAGACTTTAGTTTCACCCTCAACAACAACATATGCAATTAGAAGCATTTGGTCATTTGGGTCCATACCAATAGCAGCTAGTATTTGTCCTCCATAGTATCCCTTTAAGAAAGAACCATCTAATCCTATAAAAGACTTTCATTTGAAAAAATTGTCCTTCCAAGCTTTGAGACAAACATACATCCTCTGAAAGTGAGAATTTAATTGAGTAGAGTTTTCACTGCTTTCCCCTTGAATTGGTGGCTGACTTGTAATCTTCACAGTTGATCATGGGTTTGCCCTCAATAGTTCATGGCCATAATCATGAATTCTTCTATACTGCTTTCTAAAAGAACCATCCACGATATTAACAATTAATGTTTTAGCTCTATATGCCAATGTCTTGTTAATCCCAACATTCCACTTTTCATGCGTCTTCTCCATAATATCAGTCAACTCCAAAGCTGGATTCTCTCTAACACTTGTTTGAATCTTTTTGCCCAACCATTTTGAATTGAGGAACCTAATCTTATAATCTCTACTACAAGTATGCTTGTCCATAATTGTCCTCAATTGCCAAGTCTCCTGACCTTTTATATTTGCATAGTAAGCCTCCCATGGGCAACCTGTCTTACATTTAACTCTCATTCTTGCCTTATCATTTTTTTTTTGTAAATTTCAAATTCCTTCCTTCCTGAATGACATATGTTCTCATTGCCTCTTGAAACACCTCTTTGTAGAAAAATATGTACCAAGTTCCCATTTGTAGTCTTCCATTCTTTTTGGAAGCTTAAAGGTTACAAAATCATCCTTTACAACCTCATCATTCTCACTATCATACTCAGTAGGCATTTTATCACAATCATACTCCTCTATGCCACCCAAACCTCTCAAATTATCCAGATTTACCTCACCATCATTATCAACACCTACATCCATAACAATGACCTTTTCCTTTCCTTTCCCTTTCCTTTTCCCTTTCCTTTTCCCTTTCCCCTTCCCTTTCCCATTACCTTTCCCCTTACCTTTCCCATTGCTTTTCCCATTGCCTTTTCCCTTCAACTTACTTGTTGCATTCATTTCACCCTCATCAATTTCTATCTATCCATCAATACCTATGTCATTCTACGAGTCTTCAAAATTAACATTCAAAGCACTGTCATCACTTCCACCTTCTTGGTTACAATTAACTACCTCATCTTGTTCCTGGTTATAGGTCAGTCCTTCGTTGATTTCATCTCCTCCAACATTCATCCTTACATTCATATTCTTCTCCATTTCACAAGTGGTCCCCACATAATTCATATTGTTACAATTTGTCTCCTCTTGACCCACATTCTCCTCAATTTACAATCGGTCCCTACATGACCCACATTTTCCTCAATTCCAATATTCTATTCAATCCCAACATTCTCCTAAACTTCATCAACTCTTGTCCCCTCTTCCACCACATCTCCCCCCAATGAGGTCCCACCTTCATTACTTCCCCTTTCATATACTTCACCAACCACATCCTCAACCACTGTGGTCCCATCCTGATTATTAACCATATCAAGCCCTTCACCACACATATCTTCACCCAATATGCTCACATGTGGTAGTGAGATTATGAGCTCCTCAATAACATCAGATTCAGATACAGGATGTGTAACATACAAATGGCATTCACCAGTTAACACTGCAATGATTCTCATCCTATCAATCCTCTTATCATTTTATAACTGAACTATATCATTAGCAATCATATCATCACAATACCAAAGCCTAACTATAGTAGGGTAACTTAATTCTCATAACTTGTCAAATATTTCAAAGTAACTCCAATAATCAGGATCAACATTCCATATCTCCTCCAACCCTACATAACCTGACTTGGTAAAATGTGCAAACTCCCTAGAAAGCTCACCAAAATAATAAACAACACACTTAAACCTAATCTCCATGACCTAATCAACCCACATATAGTATCAGAAGTACTAAGTAAGTTAGGTATAGAAAAAATTTAACATTTTCTAAATCATATTTGTGTAAGTTCGTACCTTAGGATTTTCTGTGCAGACGAGTGAAATAATGAAGTTCTTCTTCTACGTTCTTCTGCAATGAACTTCGTCTTCAAACAAGTGTTGTTGTCGTATCTTAGGGTTTTCTTGTTGTCGTAAACGTCGCTATCGTCGTCTTTAATGAACTTCGTCTTCAAATAAGTGTTGTTCACAATGTAGCTGCTCTCTGAACCCGAGCTTTCATCCAACAATGTTATCATGCCCTAATACATTTCATCTCCTTAATATGAATGTTATGCGTAATACAAAATCCACCTCATCCATTAAAATAATTACAAAATATCCACCTAAATCATTTAAATTTCAGTATTGCAATATCTAACGTTTTTTCAACTAAAACTAACCAAAAAAAAAAAAACTAATATATAAGTTGCTGCAACCTATATAAGCCATTTAGAAGTATTAGGACTTTTCAAACCGTCATCTTATTCATATTTAAACCTTGTTTCACTTCTACTCTTTAACTTTCGCTCTATAATTCTTCTCCTTACGCCAATGTACCCTAACCGTTTCTCCGGCGGCCACCAACCGCCAGGCTTGCCTCCTCCATCAACTGCCTCAAACCCTAACCCGTTCTTCCAAGCAGGCCACAACTTCCATCCCCCAAATGCTTCCTGGCCTTTCCCGTTCCAAAACTATCCCTCTTTCGCTCCTCCGCCGCAAAACCCCTATGGCTTCCCTCCTCCGCCGCAAAACCCCCATGGCTTAGCTCCTCCGCCGATAAACCCTCCTGGATGTGATCCTTCATCGCAAAACCATCCCGGCTTTACTCCACGGTCGCAAAACCCGTCTGGCTCCGCTCCCCCATCGCAAAACCTGCCTGGCTCCACTTCTCGGCCGCAAATCCAGCTAGCCTCTGCTCCTCTGCAGCAAAATCCCAAACAGGCTATAGGCATGGCTGACAATGCTTCCTCCAAGGCCTGCCGTGACCTTCTTGCTGCCGGACACTCTGTTTCCGCGTGGGAAGTGTCTCAGAAAGCTCTCTTGACACTTCAAGTTGATTCATTGAATTCTATGGGCATCAAAATGCAGCAGGTTCCCACACTTCACCGCCTTATGCTCACTGAAGGAAAGGTATATATATACTTAACAACGTTTCTTTTTTGTTTTAGTTCAATTATGAATTTGATCAAAAGGGGTTGGTTTTCAATGTTTTGTTTTGGTTGCTGTGTGAAGGTGAATGCTTTTATCCATTGCTTTGTTGGGGTTCGGAGGATCACTTCTTTGTATGATTTGGAAGTGGCGATATGCAATAACGAGGGTGTTGGTGGCTTTGAAGAGCTTGGGTTAGGGCCTTTTTTGCGCCACCCTTTAGTTATTCATTATTTTTCCATTCGTTCCGATGTCACAGAAGTGTTTAAGATAACCAGCGAGGAGATAATTCAGTTTTTAGGCAAATTTTTAGACGTTTCTAAAGCTAAAGCAATCATCGGAGTTGAAGAATTTCTCGAGTTTATTGCCACCAAGCGATCTGTTGAACGCAGGGAATTGCTTGGGATTCGAATTCAAAACTTGGGGTATGTTTTGTCCTGTTCATCTTACATATTTTGTTGGAAAGGTTTTGTAGTGGTCTAAAGTATTAGAAAGAGGTAGATAGATTGAAAATGTTAATGTGGTAATGATTGAAAGCATTCTCTTTACGAGCTAGAGATTTGACTTAACGCTAAATTAGTTAATGAGCTAAAACCTTTTGATGAATTATTTCCTTCGACAATACTTTATTTGATAGATCAAAATTATTATCAATAGTATGAATGCTGATAAAGGCGCCATTTAAGGGAGTGAAATCATTATTATGTTACTATTAATTACACTTTTACGGTCAGTTTGAGTTCAAAACTTCAAATATTTTTCTTGGATTTTGAATTTATCGCACATATGATTGTTTATTTGATAACTATGACTATTGAGAGACAGTTCGGAGGAGTAACTTATTTCTGTATCCTCTTCGATTTTTTGGAACACGATTGCTAGATATTTACTAAATAAGAAATATTGTTATTTGTGCATGAGCAACATTGCTTCTTTTTTGGCCTCTTCTCCTTATTTTTGTTTGCCTTACGTATTTGTATAGAATCACATTTGTATTTATGTTCTGTTCAATTCCTTTGACTGAAGCAATTTTTGCCAGAAGAGAATTATTTGATCACAAAATATTCTGTTTCTGACTTCCCATGTGCTAGGCAACTGGTAATTAGGTATGCATAGGATATTGAGATTTTATAAACTTCACAGTAAAGTTCCACTTACCCAGTCTCCAGGGTGTAAAATGAGGATGATCTTTCTAAGGAAATAATGAATAGGAAATAGAAAACTAAATAGATAGCACTTTGTAGGGCTACAACATCCCTACCGGTACTAACTGAATCACCAATTTTATACCTCCTTTCCCTATCATTATCTCACCCATCTGGGCTACAACTTTTCTACCAGTACCAACTAAATCACTCATTTTATACCTCCTTTCTGTATCCTTAGCTTACCCATTATCTTCTCTCTTTGAACTCACACATTCTACTATAACCCCCATAACAAATGTAATTTTCCCACATATATATGTTTTGGTTATGAAAACAAAATGCCTATAAGCAAGTTCACTGTGAGTATAGTAATATTAACACGCTATGACAGTATAATTACATGCGCGCACGCACGAACGAACGAAATAATTCTTCTTTTCTTGTCAGGTATTTAATATCTCTTAAGTTTGATCTGTTATGTGCAAGTTTAACATTTGGTCTAGAATAGGCCATCTTTTCCTAAATACTGATTTTTGTGATCACAGAATGCACATAACTGCCATAAGGGAAGCTAAAAAAGCAGAGGAATCTACACTAGAGAAATGCTTGAAGACATTAAGATCAAAAAGTGACAAGTTTATGAATCGTCTTATTTCTTCTTCTCAGAAAAAGGAGTTAGATGAACGTTTTAGCACCATTGCTCAGCGTGTAGAGTCATTTTCTTCTGTTGAAAAATCTTTTCGTGGCAAGCATGTTAGATTCTCATCGTCAAGCTCAGAAGATGAAGTTAGTGATTATTCTACAGATAATGATCAGAATGATAATATTATTACGAGCAGTTGGTCCAATCCATCATCAAAATTTGGCAAAAGTTCAGAACGAATGAGTAGCTGTCCCTACCCATCTGCAACCGAAGAGATGGCACGCCTTGTGGTGAAGAGTGATAAGCAGGGAGACTCCCTTTCTAATAGCAGCCTTAGAAAGGGATTTAGTGAGCCCCCTAGTAAAAAAAGAAAAACTGAAAATGATACTTCTAACAAACTTTTTAAGCTTCTTAACTTTAAGTATAAAAAAGTTGATCCAACCCCAACCGTAAATGTTAACGCAACCAAGGTATCAAAAAATATGGACAAGTATCTTTCAATCACTGATGATTCTTTGCAGATGTTTGTCACAACCTGGAAGGAAGCGTGTTTGGAACACAAGGTTGCTGAGGTAGGTATTTAAGTTCATTAAAATGAGATGATAATGATATATTTATTGCAATAATTTTCCTAGCTCCTCTCTGAATATAGGTTCATTTTGTTGGTCTGTTATGAAATTACACTATGTAATTATCACAATGTACATTTTGAAGATTTGATTGTACATTTTGAAGATTTGGTTTCACAATGTATGTGTAGGTTTTGGAGAGGATGCTTCAATTCTATGGAGTAAAACCCCGGGAAAAGAACAAAATCCGAAAGTTGCTCATGTCATACCCCTTCTTAGTTGGGTTATTAAATGCTGCTGTAAGCTTCTTTTTGTTGACTTCATTATTTTTCCTTCACACTTATAAATTTATGGTATATTAGTTGAATTGATCTTGTAATTATTTGCTTTATTTGAAACCTAACTTCCTCATTTACTATAAGTAGATGTTAATAGTTGATTTGTTTTTGTTTGCTAAATTTTCATTTGGTTTGAACTTCCCTCCATCATATAATGGGATAATATTATCATGTTTCATGCTGAGGTAATGCTACTTTCACACATACAGTGTGGGAAGGTTGCTATTAAAGGAAAATTTTACTGCACATCTATAAGACCTACAATGTTGTATGGACTGAACTTTGGCCCTGTGAAAAGTAAACAAACTAGTGAACTTAGAAAACATAGGTTTATAAATACTATGATTGGAGTGAAGATTGTGATAACCCCCGTTGTAGAAAAGTGGTGTCTTGCCTTGGGTGTTTTTGGATATGTAGAGTTTGTGGTGGCAACTGTAACCAAGTCGGAGTTGGTGTAGGATAACACAGTATGTATTATAACATAATTTACCATTGAATATAGAAAGTTCAGATTCAGTTTGTCTCCCTTCTGCTTTGATGTTCTATTACGGGTAAGCAATATAAGGGGGTGGACCAGAGGGAGGACAATCTAATTGTTAGACTTATAAGTAGTTGGAAACCAATGAAAATTATAAGACAAACCATTTGGGGAGATTTAGGGGTTAATGGTCTAAATCTTTAGACCAAATGTCAACTATTTTATACTGTCGACAGATTCAAGTATGTAGCTGACCTCACTTAGTGGGAAAAGACTAGATGGTGGCTGTTGCTGGAACTATTTGAGATCAAATCTTGCACTTTTAGTGCTCATTGTGGTGGTTTTGGGTGTAGGCTTTTGCGTTTTTCAGGATTTTACAGGTTGCTTGAACTAAGGGTGTGAAAAAAAACCGGTTATTGTTAATCAAATTTGTATCCAAATTATTCCACTTTTAAAAATTCAAACCAAATGCTAAAATATAAATTTGGTTATCCATTTTGTTATCCAAATATAAACCGGTTTCCATGTGGTTTAGTTATTGGTTATCCAAACTTAATTATTTGTCAAATTAATATGTTTTTGTCTCTTTTCATGTTTTATCATATACACGTTATAAACTAATTTTATATTTTAAACCAAAAGATTCAAAATTTTGTATTTCAAAATAAAAAAAAATTGTTTACAAATTCTCTAACTACCTAAAATGGTGTACTAATATTTCACAAATTATATGGACTTTTATCCGTTAATTATATGAACTTTCAGTAATTAATTATATAGGTCTTCGTGCATCGAGTTTGATTTGGCATGTGCAAGAAAATATACCAAAACTTGACTTGTTGGATTTGACTCTAATTTTCATTTATAAATGTTGAAGTTCATTAAAGCTTTATGAAAAAATAATTATAAATATTATAGATTTCTTCACCAATAGATAGAGGTTTTGAAATATACAAATATATGTATTATAAATATTAGCTATCATTTTAAGTATATATAATTTGCTGAAATTTTTTATTTTCAATTTTATTTTCAATTTTTTAAATACTTTTTACTTTTAGATTTTTTTAAAAATTGTTTTTTAAATTTTTTTATATTTATTTTCAAAGAAAAAATATATTAAAATCTAAGTATTTAAATTTAATAATTGATATAATTTAAAAAAAGTTAAATTTAAATTTAACTAAATAATTTGGGTTAAAATCAAAATCCATTTAGAACCGGTTTTAAACCGGTTTAGAACAAGTGGTTTGGTTTATAAACCATAACCATAAAAATGGATTGGTTCATATTAAATGGTTATCCATGCACACCCCTAACTGATGATTAAAAAGCTCTTAAATATTAGTGCTTTCCTTTTTCCTTATGGTTAAGGAGGACATTTTATTTGCTCATAGTCTTTTTTTACCGTAGCTTTGCTAATATTTATTGGGTCGCTAACGTGTGCCCTTAGGACATTTGTTAAGGAGTACTAAAATATAAAGCTTTTGTGTTGAAAGAGACAATTTTTTAACTTTCGAAAAACTGAATACACAATTTTCAGTACAATGTTTCTAATTTCTATATATTGTTCATTAGGAAGTGCCATAAGGGCACATGTTAGCACTGCCATAATTATTTCCTGTATAAATATTTCATGTTTCACTTTTCTGCTTGGTTGTATGATTTCCTTATGGAATTATTGTATTTACTGAAGGTTTTTTCTTTCTTTCCAAAGCTGTATGATATCTTCCACTTAAATTCTTTCATTCTAAAATGCTGCAGGTTTCTGCTATCAAATCTGGAATGTGGAATAGCATCTATGATACCTTCCAAGTCTTCAACCATAGTGAACTAACTAACTCCCCGACCAAAAGTTCTGAATACGAGACCTTAGATATTGAACCCAGCCTGGAAAATGTACCACTGGCAGCAAAGGATAATGCAGAGAATACAAATTGTGAGTCTACTTGCCATTGAATCAAACATTGGCTAACATATATTTATCTACTAATTTTGGTCGTTTTGTTATAGTTTCCTTTTGAAAGAATTTCCACTAGGCGGGCTATGAAAATGAATTGCATTATAGCATAAGAGTTTTATTGGCCTACTCCTTTTATTTTACATTGGAGTGATATTTATTTTCTTATGTTTTTAATTACCCAGGATACAAGCATAAAGTTTTATTTTAGTTACTTTTTTCTTCTCAAAATTCCTTATCCTATGCTATCTTGTCTACTCTTCCTGACAGTGGAACTTATAACAGGCATTTCTGCTGAAGATGTCGTCAGAAAAATTGGAATGTATTTTGACCTTAATAATGAAGTATATAGAAATAGTGACTCACAGGTGAAGTATAAAATAATGTTTTTGAGAAAGTTTTGCAACTGTGAAAGTTGGTTAGCTGAACAGTTTGGTGTGAAGAACTTCAACTCTCTTGGTCATGGGGATCTCTTATCATTTCTTGAGAATAGCATTGACCAGCTGCCTCGTGAGCTGATCAAATTATTGGGCGGTGGCATGTGCGAGAATTCCTCCTTCAAGGCCTGCATGTCCTCAAATGAGTTGGTTGCTTTACTATCTCAGGCTATTAGTAGTTTGTGGGAGAATGAAACAGTAACCAAGCAGATTATTTCCATGCTGCTTATGAGGCAGTTTCCTTCAATTGGTTTTGAATTCGTGGAAAGTGGGTCTCTTGAGGATCTTCTGGACACCATTCGAGAGCATAAATCTAACGTAACTTCAAAATGTGTTGTATTTTCTGCCACCATGATTGAAGAGCGCTATCACATAGACTCCATAAGTGACGGAGATAACAATTGGTCCGGAATCACCATTGATAGTTCTGAAATGGTCCATAAAACAAAAAGCTCTGAAACTATTACAGCAAAAAATGCAATTGAAGTATTACTTAAGTCACCAATGTTGTCTGACTTGAGCAAGTGGTCTCATTGGGATCTTATGTTTGCTCCCTCCCTTGGCTCGCTAATATCATGGTTGTTGAATGACGTAAATACCGAAGAATTGTTGTGTTTGCTTACCAGAGATGGAAAGGTGATACGGATAGATCATTCTGCAAACTTGCAATCTTTCCTTAATGCTGCAGTTCAAGGATCCTCTTTCCAAACTGCAGTGTGTTTACTATCTTTGATCTCACTACATGGAGGGAAAAGAAAAGTTCCATTGTCACTTCTAAAACGCGACTCTTGTAGTGCATTTGAAGTCTTGTTCAGAAACTATGTGGAAGATATTGAAGTTGGTGATGATAAAAATGCTTTCCAGTCTGACGAAGCTTTATGTAAAACAAAAATATTAACTGAAATTTCAACTACTAAAATGAGTGGTGAGTTTGGCAAACACTTACTTAAAGTGAATAAGGTAGTATCAATTATGTCAAAGTTTGTCCTTGATTGTCTTGGTTATCTGCCTGCCGAATTTCATAGCTTTGCTGCTGACGTGTTGCTCTCTGGGATGCGATCTGTTTTCAAGGATGCTGCTGCAGCTATTTTATGTGAATGCAGCAACATGGAGCAGCATCTCATGCTTCATGAAATAGGGTTGTCTCTGGGTATTACTGAGTGGATTAATGATTACCATGAATTTATTTCAAACAACACATTTGATCAGTTTTGTGCTCATGTTTCATGCTTAAAAGATGGCAAAACTAAAATAAGCACAGGACTGAAGCATGACCAAGAATTCTTGGATAAGTCTCTCGTGCCTGAAGTAGATATGGTTACATCACTCGTGCCATGTGGGCTCAATGAAAGGTGTACTGAAATTAGGCAAACAGTTGATGCAGAAAAGTCTATTGACAAATCTATGACTAGCCACATAGAAGATTCACTTCAAAGTGGCAAAGATATTGATTCTACTTTGGTTATTGAATCTATTAGGCAGGATGAATTTGGCCTAGATCCTAGCCTTTCTGATTCTGACAGTTGCATGTTGAAGAAGCAACATGCTAGGTTAGGGAGAGCATTGCATTGTCTTTCACAAGAGCTTTATTCTCAAGATTCACATTTTATCCTTGAATTGGTGAGAATATGCTTTCAACTTCATTTCTTGTACTTAGGAGTAGAGGAGTAAGGGGGAATGTTTTTTAGTTCTGTCAAACCTTTTTTTTATTATTGTTTGTAAAACTCGTGTACTGATCCACATCTTAGTAACTGTTGAAAATAGAATATAATTAAAGTTCTGCTTTCCAAGCACAATTAAAATTCAAAATATAATAGGGTTCATTGCATTCATAGATTCAGTGTACCTTAGAAGTTAAAGCTAGTTTAATTTCTTTTCTCGCAACTGTACATATCATGTATATAAATAAATGCTCTCGCTTAAGTGAATTGACTAAGAAGTTATGTTTTGTGGGGGTAAGGGGCAATTATAATGTTAGGCAGCTGTGATGATGTTTTTAAAATATTTGTCATATCTTATTGATTCTTTTTTTTTTTTTTTGGAATGTTGACATCATTTTACTATTTTTGTAGTGTTGTTCACTCTAGGCCAGAAATTGATAAACTGAATAAGGTTATTTTATAAGAGTTCTGTATAAATACTAGGCATTACTTTTTAGTTTTTACTGTTTATGAAGGGATGATTTTAAAAGACTATTTTAATTAAAGAGGCATTCTCCATATTGGAAATTTTGTATGGTGAGCTTTGAGAGTTATTGTTCTGGGCATGTACCTTATAGTTTCTTCATTTGATTCAGGTTCAAAATGCAGATGATAATAATTATCCCGAAAGTGTGGAGCCAACTCTTGCTTTCATTCTTCAAGATTCTGGTATTGCTGTACTGAATAATGAACAAGGATTCTCTGCTCAAAATATGAGAGCACTTTGTGATGTTGGAAATTCAACGAAGAAGGGGTCCAGTACTGGATACATAGGGAAGAAAGGCATTGGCTTCAAGTCTGTTTTCCGAGTATGTCGAAGAAACATTTTAATTCATTTTCTCTTTATTATAACTCTTAAACTTTTGGTTGGGTCTAACACAACCTTACAAAACTAGCTTGTAATGTGAGGATTGCCCCCTCTTATAAATATATTTTCAGACCATATTTTGTCCGGCACATTCCCTCACATCCAACACTATTGGGTTTAGTGCACGGATATATAAATGGTGGATGACTCAATAGCGGAAACCTGATAGCAAATGATCCAATAGATCTTGGATAGGCTCTGAAACCATTTTAAACTTTGAGTTGGGCCTACCATGACCTTACAAAATCAGTTTGTAAGCTGAAAATTGCCCCCACTTGTAAACATATTTTCTGGCCATATTTCATCCGACATGAGACTCTTAACAATAACATTTTGTTTCAAATATGAATGCTGAAAAACCAAAAACATCAGGATAGGACAGGAGGTGTTTTTGTTCAACTCTTAATCATGTTCCCAGTTTTGATCCTAATAGTTTGAGATTATCTGCTTTTATTTCCTTCTTTCACTTTGGTGTAATTGTTTATTTGTTTTGATTTTTCTTTCATCTTTATATTCTTCCTATGATATATTGTGCTTCTGTTTATCTGTTTTATTTGAGGGTACTCTTTTATCTGTTTGCTTCTTTATGTATGTTTGATCCTGCAAACTGTATATGTCCATCGCTTTTAATTCTTTGTTGTTTGATATATGGAAAATATCTAATAATATTTGGGTTGTAAAGATCAATTAAAAGTATTTTGCATTATTCTTAGAAATGGTTTTTGTATTCTCTGTATATTTCATTATTTTTGTTGTTATATAAACTAAAATCAGGATTCTAGTTAATAATTATGATAAATAGTTTCGATATTTGATTAAAATTAGGAGTCTAGTCTTTTTTATTTTTTAACTTTTTAATTTTATAATAATAGTCAATGTTTATTTTTTTAATCAAACAAATCAATCCAAAGTCTTTATTTGTTTTCTTCCCTCATGTATCTAAAACCCTGAAATTTCAATAATTAGATTGTTGGTTATGATGTAATGTAGCATCCTAAAACTGATATGAAAATGAATCAGATATAGCGCCATATCGTATTTTTCTACAACTTTTTGATTTGAACACTTTGTCCAAATAATTTCTTGGCACAAACGTATAATCAAGGTTATGTTTTTACTGTTACAATCAGTCTGTCAAGTAAACTCATGTAACACATATATCATCAGACTGTTGATCACCCAATGATGATGTGTTTCAGTTTCATTTGCAAGAAAGTGATATGTTTACAAAAAAGTTCAAATTTATGCATTATCATAATAAAAACTTGCGTCCTTTCCTCACGGTTTTCTATTTGTACTTTTCCTTTATTAATATATTCTTCAGATAGTAAGTTTTATTAACTTCGGTTGGTTTCACTGCAGGTCACAGATGCTCCTGAGATTCATTCCAATGGTTTTCATGTTAAATTTGATATTAGTGAAGGCCAGATTGGTTTTGTTTTGCCCACATTAGTTCCTCCTTGTGATATTGAGCTGCTCAGGAAGATGGCATTTACTGGCACTGATTCATACTGTGATAATCCCTGGAATACATGCATTCTACTTCCATTCAGATCTCATCTATCAGAAGGAACTGTCATAAATAATATTATGGCCATGTTTTCAGATCTTCATCCTTCATTGTTACTATTCCTTCACCGACTTCAATGTATCAAGTTGAGAAACTTGCTTAATGATACACTTATTGTTATGAAAAAAGAAATTTCAGAAGACGGTATCATCAAGGTTTCTCATGGGCAAGAGAAAATGTCATGGTTTGTAGTATCTCAGAAGTTGCAGACAAATTCCATTCGCTTTGACGTGCAAACAACTGAAATATCTATGGCGTTTACACTGCAGGAATCAGATGAAGGTTACAGTCCCTGTTTAAACCAGCAGCCAGTTTTTGCTTTCCTTCCTTTGAGAACATATGGCCTGAAATTTATTCTTCAAGGTGATTTTGTTCTTCCCTCATCCAGAGAGGAAGTTGATGGAGATAGCCCATGGAACCAATGGTTGTTGTCAGAGTATCCTAATTTGTTTGTCAGAGCAGTGAGGGAGTTTTGCGAGCTTCCCTGCTTTAGGAGTGAGCCTGGAAAGGGATTGTCTGCTTTCTTGAGCTTCATTCCTTTAGTTGGAGAGGTGCATGGTTTTTTCTCCACTCTCCCTCGTTTGATTATTTCAAAGTTACGCATGATGAATTGCTTACTTGTTGAGGGTGACAACAATGGATGGGCCCCTCCATGCAAGGTATTGAGAGGTTGGACTGAGCAGGTCCGCTGTCTTCTTCCTGATAATGTACTTTTTGAACACCTAGGGCTCAGATACTTGGATAGAAATGTATTATTATCTGATACCTTAGCAAGGGCACTAGGTGTTGAGGAGTTTGGGCCTTTAGTACTTGTTCGAGTAATGTCATCTTTGTGTTACACAAAGAATGGGCTGATATCAATGAATATGAGTTGGTTGGCGTCTTGTCTAAATACACTCTATGTATTGATGTTTGATTCATCTGGCACAATGTCAATCAATTTTGAAGTAAAAGATGATATTCTAAAACGCCTTAAAAAAACACCGTTCATTCCACTTTCAGATGGTACATACAGTTCCGTGGATGAAGGAACTATATGGTTGCAGTCCAATACTTTGAACACAGGATTTGACGGTGAGCATAAAATGGAAGCTTTCCCTAATATATGTGCTAGACTACGGACTGTAAATCCTTCCCTTCTTTTCGCAGCTTCTGGTACTTCAAGCTTGAATGTGACTAGTTTGGACAATGTTACTCGGTTACTTGAGACTATTGGTGTTCAACAATTGTCTGCTCATGATGTTGTGAAGTTGCATATTTTACCTGTGTTATCTGATGAAACAATGGCAAGCAAGAACAAAACATTGATGATTGAATATATATGTTTTATAATGCTGCACCTTAAATCTACTTGTTCTGATTGTTTCATTGAAAGGCAGCATATCATCTCAGAGTTGCAAAGTAAATCTTTATTATTGACAGATTGTGGTTTTAAATGTCCCGCTGAGGTGCCAATTCATTTCTCTACTGAATTTGGGAATCCTGTCACTGCAAAAAAGTTGGCTGATGCTGTGAATATGAGGTGGCACGAAGTCGACATAAGCTATTTAAAGCACCCAGTAAATGAGTCAGTTTCATCTTCACTAGTTAAGTGGAGGGAATTTTTTGAGGAAATTGGGATCACTGATTTTGCTCAAATAGTTCAGGTGGAGAAGAGTGTTGTTAACATATGTGATGCCACTTTTAAGCAGGCGATGTGGGATAGGGGCCTAATATCCGCTGAATCAATAGTCAAAGATTGGGAATCCCCAGAAGTAGTGCAATTAGTATCGTTATTGTCTAACAGTGGCAATCAAGAAAATTGTAAGTACCTCTTGGAGGTTCTTGATACATTATGGGATGCTTGCTATGGTGATAAAGCTAGAGGTTATTTTGTCTCTAAATCTGTTGGAGATGGCCACCCCTTTAAGTCTACTTTTATATCTAACTTGTGTGATATTCAATGGGTGGTATCAACCATGGATGATGAACTACACTATCCTAAAGATTTATTTTATGATTGTGAAGCAGTCCGGCTGATCCTTGGAGCTTTTGCTCCATATGCTGTTCCAAAGGTTAGCTTTACTGTACTTTTGTGTGATGCAGTGCGCGCTTATACATTTAATGATTTTTCTTTTTAGTTTATGTAATTAATTGCAAACTGGGATGCAGAGACTAATTATCAACATAGTTATGCATGAATGGGTCTTGGGGTTGTTGTCTCTAGTTCATTCTAGGATTTTATTTCCTGTTTTTCGTTTCTGATTATGTATCTCTTATGCTTTGGTTACTTGTCCTGCTATATTTAGGGCTGGTATAGTAATATAAGGCACAATGTTTCTCTTAAGGATTTCAGCTTATTACTGAATTTGATTGATATTTTGATTATTTGAGAAAAATTATTATTTATTGGTATCTCCTTGTGATTCTTGTTTGTACGTGCATATTGATTTGTCATTAGTCTGTCAAAAAAGGAAACAATGGCAACGAGTCTTGATACTATTTTGTTTGCTGTATTTATACAGGTGAAAAGTGAAAGATTGGTGAACGATCTTGGGTTAAAGACTAGAGTTACTCTTGGTGACATTTTGAATATTTTTGAAGCCTGGAGAAAATCATCCAAGACTTCATTCAAAGCCAGGTGTGTACATTTTAGGCTTTTATTTGCAAACAAAATGGCTTTGATTGTTCAAGTAACCAAACTTTTCATCTAGAAAACACCAATATGACTGGGAAAATGAATATGATACAACTACTTTTAAAATTGCTAAAATGTTTAGGTACAGCATATAAAATTAATACTGCACTCAACAGAGAATCAATGTTTACAAATATCACCAATAGGCATTTTAGATACAACAAAAAACTATGATTTGTGTAATTTTTATGGGTTTCATCTGCATCGATTTAAAAATTAAAAACAAAATTTTGTGCAATGTAATATACATTGAGGAGTATTAGACGGTGTTCAAAGATTGTTTATCATGACTGTATGACCCAAACATGGTGATCACTTTGAAGTTTCCTTTTTCCGTGCTCTAATTAGCCAATGGTCAATGCTTAAGATGTTACAGGAAGCTATTAGTGGGTTTATATCTATAACATGCCCCTTTGTGAAAAAGTTCTTTTGAGCTTAGTTTAGAGCATTTGCAATGCATATGCAAAATAAGTTCTTAAGAATTGGACTACCAAATACCAATTGTTTCTTTGCTGCTCTGATCTCGTAAAAGCTTAAGCTGCTAAATATAGTTGCATTTCATGAATGGTTTTATTCTTACAGAACCCCAGATATAGCAAAGTCACAACAATCAGTGCCATGAAAATGACTAAGCTATTTCCTTTTAGTGTGTATCATATATATTTAGCCGCATGGACTATTACTGGTCAAACTGATGCTCAAAATAGATATCAGGAAAAAAATTATATTTAATGTATGCATCTATATCACTTAGGAGCATCTTTAATGTGTCCTGAAGAATAGGATAGTCTTTGTCCATTTTCTTTCCTGTAATTTGTTAAGTTTTTCATATCCTTGTATGTATGTTGTATCCTATCCATGCCTGTATGGTGTATATCTTCTAGCTACAGCAAGGTTTTGAAATGTTGTGATTATGTTAAAATTTCTTTAATGAATGTTTGCGCCAACAGAAGGTTGGGACTGGGGAAGTAAAATTTGAGTTGCTAAAAAAGTGCATACATTTGTAGCTGTGTTTGAACTGGCTGCCCACTGATTATCTGTGCTTACTTTTTTCTTTCTCCTTTCAAAATTACGCAAACTCACACCTATAAGTTTTCATTTTTTGTAGCATAAGCCAAATGTCTAAATTTTACACATTCATTTGGAAGGAAATGGCAGCTCCAAAGCAGAAAACCCTGCAAGATTTGATGGCTGGGCCTTTTATATTTGTCCCTAACTCAGCTATTCATAGTCATGATGATGATGTTTTTGGGACGTTGGTGCGTCCCAATGAAGTCTATTGGAATGATCCAACTGGTTCTGTTCAGAAGATGGAGGAGTTTGATACTCAACGCAGCTCATCCCACTCTGCAATTAACAAGTCACTGTGCAATATTTACCCTGGCCTTCGTGGTTTCTTTGTTGACGAGTGTGGAGTCCAAGAGGCACCTCCTCTACGCAGCTATATTCAAATTTTGCTACAGTTATCAACCGTCACTTTGCCTTCACAAGCAGCAGATAAAGTAAGTGTATGATGAGCAGTAAATTACGACTTGATTTCTTTTACCTGAAACATTCTTACCTTGCTCTTTTCACTTTCCAGATTTTCCAAGTTTTCCTCGTGTGGGCAGATGGACTAAAATCTGGTTTGTTGAATGTTGAGGATGTTGTATATCTGAAAGACTGTCTTTCAAAATTAGAGTTTCCAGTGCTTCCCACTGTTCAAGATAAGTGGGTTTCATTACATCCTTCCTTTGGTCTTATCTGCTGGTGTGATGATAAGGAATTGAAAAAAGAATTTAAGCATTCAGATAACCTTGACTTTCTTTATTTTGGTGAAGTAACAGAGGACAATAAAGAAAAGGTGCTAAAAAAAATTTCTTTCCTTATGAAAAATTTAGGTATTCCAGCTATCTCGGAGGTATGATCACTCTTTCTCATGCATTTCTTTATCTCGGTCATCATTCATTGTAGTCTAGACACTTCTCAAATTATGGTGTTACACTAACACATACATGCAAGCACATGCACATGTGATTATTTTTTCATTTTATTTTTGTGCTTAATTGTATGTGTATCTACTTATACTTTTAGTATGAAAATGGGAATCAACTTGGAGAGACATGGGTATATGTTCTCCAAAACTGCCCGACATTAAAATTGGTGGTTAATATAAATTATAACCACTTACAAGCATTCTCCTCAACTGCTCTAGCTTTTTATGTGATTATGAAATGAAAATAATGCCTTTTTGTTGGCCAAGTTGCAAAGCAATCCATTGATAACAATATACTTTATTTCATTATGTCGGTGATCAAACTTGGGAACATAGTGATGTTATGTGAGTAGCATGATTTAATGCAATTCACATTTATGCATTATCTGATATTTTTAGGATCTTTTCTTTGTTTTTGGTTAACATGTTAAACAAAGACTGAAAAGTACTTGGTGTACTTTTATGCTTTCCACCTAATTAGGTGTCTCTTCTTGCACAGTCTCCTATTTGTCACTTCACCCCTCCCTTTCTTCTCTTAAACTTTTCCAAACTGATTAGAGCTCTTAATATACTAAGACATGCCTCAGTAAAGCAAATTGATGAAATTCTCACAAAACCAAAATGAAGATTTGGATATAACTAAGGGCCTGCGTTGTTTAAGATTAAAAAAGTGATTTGTGTTCCCCGAGGTTCTTGTGAAGAGGAGGCAATTTGTATTTGGTCCCAATTATAAAGAATACTTTCTTTTGTGGTAAAGTAATCTGAAGTAAATGCACTGTTAAGTATATTTACTGCGACACCTATTTATGAAACTACCAAGACATTTCAATAAAAAAGCAGAAAAGTATTGAAGTTGTTGGATTTTAGATGAAAAGAGAAGAAGAGAAATAAAAAGAAATATAATTATAGTGAGATATGCTTGACGTTGACTTGATACAAAAGACCAATCACAAATTCCTATTTATAGTCTTTATTTTAATGCACAAAACAATAAATGATACTGATAGAATGAGTTTCAAAAGTTTTTTACTTGTGGATTCAAAATTTATTCAGTTGTCTTTCATAAAGTTGTTTACTTGAGAAAGAAAAAGTTGTTATTCATATAATTTTGGATGTTACTTCAGTGCTTTATGACAACGTGCAGGTGGTGACTCGTGAGGCAATATATTATGGTCTATCTGATTGTAGCTTTAAAGAGTCATTGATCAATATTACTCTTCCATATGCTCAGCGCTACATTTATAAATCTCATCATGATAAATATATTCAACTCAAGCAATCTGGTTTTGGTATTTTGAATGATCTTAAAGTCATAGTTGTTGAGAAGCTGTTCTACAGGAATGCTATAAAAGGCTGTGGCAGTGTTTCAAACAAACGGGTTGAATGTAGTTGTCTTCTACAGGTATGTTAAGATTTTTGAATATTTCATCAAAAAACTACATTCATTAATTTAATTATATATCCATGACATAAACCGAAAAGCAATCTTGACACAAGGGTAAACTTGGATTCCAATCAAATATAGAAAATTGAATACTACTGGCTACTTTTAGTTAGAAATACCATTTATTTGTTCACCTTGACTCAAATTTCAATTGTAGGCTTGAATTGAACTTATGGTCAAATGTAAACTTTAATGTGAAACATATTTTCCTCTAACTGTTAACTTTTTCTTATTCTCAATTTGAAATTTCAGAATTTGACTATGATCTGTTTTTGGGTTTTTTGTTCGGTGATACTTCCTATACACAATTTGATTCTCAATCCATCATTAGTAATTCAAAAGATTTTGAAGATCTAAGTATTGTTTCATTAAAATATTTGGAGCATTGATCATTTTATTTTTTTGCATGTATCAACCCATTGTTGTGCCTGAAACACGATCGTTTACAACCCTTTAGCTGCCTATTGCAAAATCACAACTTTTCCATCCATAAAATTTTTTCAGAACGAATATCTATATCATGTTTGTCTGTATGTCTTTATCACAGGGAAACATTTTGTACACCATTCAAGAAGCAGACCATCTTTCCTTGTTTATGGAGCTTTCCACTTTATTACTTGATGGGATTGATGGGGATTATAAAATTCACATGGCAAATTTCCTTCACACAATAACAAACAGTTCAGAATCCGAGTCCCGTGAGAAAATGTTGAATAGCCAAAAGGTGCCAAAGCTTCCTGATGAAGAACCTGTTTGGGCACTATCTACTGTGTCTCCAATGTTAGAGGATGAAATATCACTCCCTTCAGATTATGTTTCATCATCGAATGAACAGACATTACCATTGCCAAAAAGAAAGGGCGGAATGTCCTCAAACTGGCCACCTGCTGGTTGGAAAAATGCACCAGATTTCAATTATGCCCGTGCCAATGGATTCAAGACCCAACCTGCCTTGATTAGTAGTAGCGTTTCTGAAGTGAAAAATGATGATAATTTTGAACGCATTAGTGCTCCAACCGTTTGTTATGAACAAGGATCAGTTTCTGTTGACCGGAATGTCATAGATGATCTACAAACAAATTCGGCGTCCTTAGCATTGCATGAAACTGAAAACTTCAAAAATCAATCCTACCATGATATTGAGCCGACTAGTTTTCACCATATTGAATTTGATCCTGCTAGTTTGGGTGATGATATGGATGAATCTCGAGTTAAAGCTCACTCGGGTTCTGCAGCTTTTAGCACACCAGCTTTTAGCATGAAAGACCGGCTTCAAACTGGTACATTTGACGCAGCACAAGCAATTGCAACCGGCAGATTAGGCGAGTTACTTGCATACAAATACTTCACCGGTAAAGATGGCAACACTACTGTAAGTTGGGTTAATGAAGTTAATGAAACAGGACTTCCGTTTGATTTAATCATTGGAGGAGGTGCCAATAAAGAGTATATCGAAGTTAAAGCAACTAGGTCTCCAAGAAAAGACTGGTTCCACATCTCAACGAGAGAATGGCAGTTTGCAGTTGAGAAAGGAGAATCTTTTAGCATTGCATTTGTTGCAATAACAGGAGATAACAATGCACAGGTTGCGGTATTCAAAGATCCAGTAAGGTTATGTCAACAAGGTGGACTGCAACTGGTTGTTATGATGTCAAAACAACAGAGACAGTAACCTGTTGTCTCATAGCTTCCATTCTTGTGGATGGACTTGATAATCCCTCCAATGTATTATTACTTTTTGATCAACCTTTTGCACCCAGTATGTGTTGGCAATTTATTTTAATGGCCAAGAAGATTCATGGACTGGATATCACTTAATGCAAGATTCAAGATTTGTTGATCACACGAGTTGTGTTTCCAATATTTTGGTGCTGTATGTGGCATATTTTTGCATATTCCAATCATCTAAAAGTAAACCTAGCCCCATGGAGAAGGATGCAAAACTGCATGCTTTCCATGTACAAATGTAATAATTCATTGTCCTGCTTTGAAATTTTGCTATTTATTATATAAACGCATTTCTTTTTAGCACCTTAAATTTATTGATGGCCTTTTTTTTTTCTTCTTTCATTCTTTCATGTAGTCTAGTGGTTGAAATTCATCTTTTAGAAATGTGATTGAAATTCATCTTTTAGAAATGTGAACAAGTGAGATGTCCCAGGTTTGAACCCACGTCTCTATTTGATGTCCCTGAAAGTTACCAATTTAATTGACTTAAGAACCCACGGCCCTATTTGATGTCCCTGAAAGTTAATTGACTTAATGGGGCATTGAAAATTGGTTAGTGTTAAAGAATTGAACCTTATTTTGATATTTGAAATATACAAGCACTAATATTTTTTATGAGTATTATAACTTAATTAGCCTACCTAAAAGTTCAAACATGACTTATACTAATAATAGTTAAAAGAAATAATTGGCCCTACATAGTGGGCATTAATATATTCTTCAAGGCTCACACTTTCGTTTCTTTCAAATAAAGTTCTTGTACCTCCTTTCAAATATTGTTATAATTCAGGAAGTTCTTGTACCTCCTTTCAAATATTGTTACAATTCAGAACACTTCTTATTATAAATTAACATAGGTCGGTCGGTGCATGAATTAGATGACTAAGCTAATAACAAAATTAAAATTAGGTATAATATGTGAGATATATATAAGTTTTCTTACTAATTTCTATGCATTTTCTTATCAACCGCAATATCTTCTTCCGCGCTTTCCAATTTTATATTTGGATCAACGGGTGTATTTGCATGTTGTCTTGTCTAGAGGTGGCAATTGGATCCATTAAAACAAAATCCATCCCATCCATTCATCAAAAAATTCATCCAATCCATCCACCACATAAAAAATAAGTTAATGGATTAGATTAAATACATTCATTTATATGCATAGATGAATTCGATTCATCCAACATATTTTAAGTATCAACTGAATTATCTTTATTTTTTTTAAAATAATTAAAAGAAAAGAAATGATTTTTTTTCTAATAAAAAATCGGAATTTTTTCAAAAAAAGAAAATCAAAATTTTTTTTAAAAAAAAAACTGTTTTTTTTTTCAAAATAAAAAACTGATTTGTTTTTTGAAAAAAAAATTGATTTTTAGAAAAAAACGGTTTTTTTCTGAAAAAAAAATTGATATTTTTCAAAAATTAAAATATCAATTTTTTTCTTGAAAATACAAAAAATTCAATTTTTTTCATGAATATATTAAAAAACAATTTTTTTAAATACAAAAAATAAATTTTTTGAAAATAAAAAAATACATTTATTTTTTCGAAATAAAAAAAAAGTTGAATGGATGGATATCCATCCATTAAAAATATGTTAATAGATGGATTTTATTCTTAATGAATGAATTGGATTGGATAATTTAAAAAAAAATTAGTGGATTGTTAATGGACTAATAGATTGTTTTAATCCATCCATTAACAATCCAATCCATATCCATCCCATCCATCCATCCATTTTGCCACCCCTAGTCTTGTCAGTCTCTTGCATAAGATTAATAATATAGTTTGATAAAGAGAGCATTATGGTGAAAAATGCAAATTGTATTAACTGATTCTTAAATCTAAAACTGTTGCAAGAAATTGTATTTATACAAGCTATAAGCCAATGCCAGCTCAGCATGACTAACTAAGTTAGTTATAACTGAGACTAAACTAATGCTTGCTGCTGCCAGCTCAGCTTAGTGACTGCTAACTATATTAAAGCTAAAACTATGATATACTCTAATATTTTCCTCTCAAATCGTGCTGCCTCCTGAGGAAACCACTTGTACGCATAAAAGAGCAGTTTTGTCAAGAACTTTGAGACTATCCCTAAGAGTAAGAAATATGAGTGCAGAACTTTGTAAGGATGTCAGCAGTCTGTAGAGTAGTTAAGATATGTTTGACAAGAAAGGTGTGATTGAGCACTTTTTCTTTAAGAAAGAAAATGTCTAGCTCCACGTGCTTGGTCTTGACATGGAGAATATAATTATGAGATAAGGTTACAGTACTCAAATTATCACAATAGAGTATTGGAGTTTGAGAGGGTGCCTTTAATTTTGCAAGTAGAAACTTGATCCAGAGAACTTCTGAGGCAATGCTCGCCAAGCTCCTGTACTCAGCTTCAGTACTTGATCTAGCTACAAGGGTTTGTTTCTTGGACCACCAAGAGACCAGATTAGGACTTAGGAATATGCAGGACCCTGATGTGGATTTTCTATCATTAGGGTCAGATTCCCAGTCAGCATTAGAGTAGATAGTGATGGTGAGATGTTGCTGAGGGCTGAAAGGAAATATCTGAAGACCATGATGAGTTGTACCCCTGAGATACCTAAGTATCCTTTTGACAGCAACCCAGTTAATTTGCATAGGTTGTGACAGAAACTGGCAAGCTTGGTTGACAACAAAACTGATTTCTAGCCTAGTGATAGTAGCATATTATAAGGCTTCTACCACTGACCTTTAGTAAGTGGCGTTTGGTAAATAGTCTGACCATTCCTTGGTGAGTTTTAGGTTAGACACCTTAGGAGTAGAAAGACTCTTAACCTTACTCATGTTGGTCCTGGCTAAGAGATCTCTAAGGTATTTGGTTTGAGAGAGAAAGAGGCCTCATTGAGGAATTTTGGATACCTCAATGCCCAAAAAATAGTTTAGATCCCCAAGATGTTTGAGAGAGAATTGAGCATTGAGTTTAGTGATTAAAGTTTTAATATGGCTAGGAGAATTGCCTGTGAAAATTATGTCATCTACATACACTAGCATGAACATAGTGTGAGTAGGAGCAGTCAAGATAAACAAGGAGGGATCACACTTGCTTGTGATGAAACCAAGAGTATGCAGAGCACTAGAGAGCCTCTCAAACCATGTCATGCCTGTCTGCTTCAGCCCATAGATAGCTTTGTTCAGTTTGCAGACTAACGCTGAATTAGACTGCACAAACCCAAGAGGTTGTTGCATGTAAACTTCTGTCAGAATGCCATTTAAGAAGGCATTATTAACATCAAGCTGAGTGATTTGCCACTGTTTTGAGAGAGCTAAGGTGAGCACAACTCTGATTGTGATAGGTTTGACCACTAGTGAGAAGGTCTCCTGAAAATCAAAGCCTTGAACCTGGTGAAACCCCTTGGCCACCAATTTGGCCTTGTATTTCAGAATGGAACCATCTAGATTTTGCTTAATCCTAAACACCCATTTGCAGCCTATTGCTCTCCTGCTTAGAGGAAGAGAGGTGAGGGTCCAGGTATGATTGTTTAAGAGGGCATCATTCTCAAATTTCACAGCCTCAAGCCATTTGGGATCCTTGAGGGCAACTTTGTAGGATGTGGATTCAAGTTCAGTCAAGATGAGGGTGGGATGAAGTCTAGGTTGCACAATACCAGCTTTTGACCTTGTGACCATAGGGTGTGTGTTTTGAGGATAAGGATGAGTTATAGAAGGATGTTCTGAACTTGAGGCAGATAGTGAAATTTCTGATGGAGAATCAGTTGAGCTGGATGTGTTAGAGGATTGAGGAGAGAATGGATTCAGTGCTATAGAAGGTGTGGCTTGGGGAGAAGAAATTGGTATGACAGTCAGAGGGCTAGGCTAAGGTAACACAAAGCTAAAGGGAGCATCATGTGGAGAGCGTGGGGAGAAGGAAAGATGAACATGTACCAATATAGGTTGTGGTGTGGGCACTGAGTTAGCGTGTTTGTGAAACTAGTACATATATGGAAACCTTATCTCATTAAAGATTACATCCTTTGAGATGTAAATTTTCCCATCAGGTGCAATACATTTATAGCCTTTGTAATGTGGAGAATAACCAAGGAAAAGACATTCCTTGGTGTGGAAAGCAAACTTGTGTGGATTGTAAGGCCTGAGATGAGGAAAACAAGCACAGCCAAAAACTTTAAGAGACTTGTAGTCAAGATCATAATTGAATAACATATTGTAGGGAGACTGCATAGTTAGAACATGAGTAGGCATCTTGTTAATAAGATATGCCGTTGCCTAAAAGGAAAGGTCCCAAAACTTCAAGGGAAGGGATGTTTGTGCCAATAGAGTGAGGCCTATTTCTACAACATGCCCGTGCTTCCTCACCACGACACCATTTTGATGATGTGTATGAGGGCAAGTAAATCTTTGTATTATTCCTTGTGTGGTTAGGATAGGAGTGAGTGGCTGAAATTCATCACCTCCATCAGTTTGAACTGTCTTAAATTGGTAGTTAAACTGAGTAGAAATATGTGCCATAAAAGTTCTGAAGATAGAGGTTACCTCAGATTTCTGTACCATAAGAAATACCCAAGTATATCTTGTGAAGGCATTCACACAGGTGAGGAGATACTTAAAGCCAACAGTGGAAGTTATAAGAGTTTGACCCCAAACATCTCTGCAAATAGAAGTTCAAAGGGAGCATGATATTGTGTAGGTGAAGCATGAGATGGCAACCTGTGAACCTTACCCAAACAACAAGACGTGCAAAAGTATAATTTTGATTGACTAGGAATAGGAACATTGCATTTGGTAAGAACACCTTTGAGGACCTCATGATGAGGATGCCCAGTCTGTTATGCCACTGAGAGTACACAAAAGGCCCTAAACCAATTACATTATTTGCACTAGAATTCAAAGTAATTGAAGGTAAAGTATGACTGGTGTGTGTGCACATAAGGTGACTTATTTGTGGAATCAAAA